CAGCGCCGCGCGCAGAGGCGCCTCTGGCGCAGCCGGGCGGCCGCGCGACCTGCGGAGCTGTGTAGGAAAACCTGCTGCTAACTCCAATGAACGGCTTACACGGGGAATGCAAACGCCTAACTTGGTTAAAGAGGTGAAATAGTATTTAAAATTGCTTAAAAGACAAAATTAAGGCACTCAAAAAAAAAAAAAAACTACTCATTTTTTTTCCCAACTCATCCACAACCACTCCGAAACATGCACCAACTCTCGATTGTTTCACCACACTGCAAACACCTTGAGTACAAAAACATGCGAATTAAGAGGCCGCCTCTCAAAGGGCACCCCCTTTTTAATCCAATTGACACATTTCCTATCCTTGGGAACTGATGCCATTATTCATGGATGGGGAACGCAGCACTCTGGTTTACGCCATAGCTCACAAAAGCAGAACAAGCGGCCAACGTTTGGTCACAAGAGCTCTACCACATGCCCACTCCACACATCACAGGGAGAAGCACAGGGATTTGGGGCTACAGATAAGCAAAATACTTCCGTGAAGGATGGTATCAGGTGGCTTAACAAAATCAGACATTAACAGCCGCAGTGATTCAAATTCTCCCAGTTGCAGGGCAAACCACAGGCAAAATCTTGCTGAGTTGCTCCCAAGCTAACACAGCACCTTGTGCTGGAGCACAGCCTAGAGCACCTCAGAGCAGCTGCACAGAGCTGAAACAGCAGCAAGCGCAGCGGGGCAAACAAGTGGGCCTGCAGCACCACGGTACTGAGGATCCCAAATCCTGCCCTCCTGCTCCCAGGGGGAACGCCCAGGCCCGAGCACAGGAAAGGGGGTGAGTGGGGTGCCCCCCTGCCCTGCCAGCCCACCTTGGTGCTGGCACCAGCAAAGCACAGGGCTGGAACATCTCAAAAGGCCTGGCAGGAAGCCACAAAGCCACGAGACGAGTCAGACAACAACGGTTAAACCCCAAATTAAGAGGACCATGGAAAACTTCCATCTAAGCATGTTTTAGCCAGTGCAGATTTGCATAGCGGTAGCAGTACCGCTGCATCCCTCCAACCCTGCTCTCATGTCACGGCAGTGGGTGTATGAAACCTCCTGTGCATGCAGCGTGCCCAGCCCCGCGAACAAGCACTGCCATCACCCTGGCATCGTGGGGCTTGCAAAGAAACCTGAGCGCTGCTACCCAGGTAGGAGAGGACAGCAATAGCAGCAGCAACCTCTGCCGGCTGGCCTCCGTGCACGTGCAAGGCTTTTATTCCACGGTTTGGAGTGACAAACTGGCTCCAAAGTGAGCAAGCTTCAGCGCTTTCCTCGTGGGAAGAGGAGCCGGCTCCCCGCCCTGCCAGAAGCGCTGCCACAAGCTGCCAGCCCCCCAGCTCCCACCTCGCTGTGGCATTTCTAGGAAGGAAGCAGCACAAGCTGCCTCAGACTGATGGCACTAACTTGGGATCTATTTGACGTACATTTGGAGGCAAGTGAAAATTAAAACAGAAATCAGCTAGTCCTAACAGAACTACGCAATCCCAGGCAGGATTTTACAAGATGCAGCAACCCTGAAACTTTGTTTCAGAGGCAGCATATTCAAAAGCTATGTGAGAACAGTTGTCTGTAGAACAGGGATATTTAAGCCTTGGACAGTTTTAAACAAAACATACTTCTAGATTTTATTATTTGCACATAAAGAAGAGAAAGCAAGAAAGAGGAAAGTGTTATATTGAAAGAACTTAATGGCTGCCACCAAGACATCAAAGAAATGCCATAAAATAAATGCCAGAGCTGGCTCTGCTCAGTCCAAGGGCTGAACATGCCCCAGCTGAATGGACAGAGCAATAAAGACCTTTCTTTCAGAACTGCATGAGCTAGAAGCGGCAGAAGTTACCATGCAGAAGACTCACCACCTGATCCTGCTGTGAAGAGGTGACCGAGCAGGACCTGGAGCTGCCTTTGAACGACAGTGTGTGAAAGCAGCGCTGCTGCGTGCGACCCTGGGAGGAGGCAAGACAGCTGCTCAGGCAGCAAATGTCAGCACAGAGGTAGAGCTGGAAGCTCTGAGCAAGGGAACAGACTGTTACCTATTTCTTGTATTCAGAAAGGAAAAGGATTTGCTTCCAACTCCTTCCCCCCACACTTTGGTAAGGAAATCAGGCTGATGGAAGCAATTCCTGCAATGCACACAAACCAGTATCTCATTCGCCCTCCTCATATCTAGCTTGGAGTCCTTCAGGGCTCTTTGCCAACACACTGGCTGATCAGTTGGACCAAAGGCACACCATTATTTCTTCCAAAATCTTAAAAGAAACAAGTCATTTATTAGCATAGGGAGATGCAGCTGAGAATGTGAGATAGAAAACATACTAATAGTTATTTATTTAGATATAGACCTGAACAGCTGTATGTATGAACAGCTGTCTGCTGGTCCAGTCTGCCGGTATCTTCTTCTTCCCAACGCAACTCTTTTTTTTTTTTTTTTATAATATTCTTTTTTCCTCCCCCATTTTTGTCCCAGCTTAAAGAACAAGGCTGTTCTTGCTTTATTTCAATTTCCAGTATCTCTGGCAATTATGTGATCAGCACATCATACAGCCACACTGGTTTTGGTTTTAATGCCTGCAAAAAATAGTGTTCTATAAAGCTTGCTTGTAAACACACCTTAAAAAGATATCAGAGGAAAGGCTATCAGTAGTTACTTTAAAAAGTGGATTGATTTTCAAGTGCATGTGTGGTTTGTTTTAATATCAGAAAATGTGGAGTTCGAAGGTGCTGAAATCCATTTTATTTGTTATTTGGGATGTAAGGCTGTTTCCCAAGCAGTGTTTCCTCTCAAGGCAATCAGACACATGGGATAATTTAGGCTGGAAGGTGGCTCCATGGCTGACCCGGCACAATCCCCTACTCTGCACTCACTGTGATTTCGTCCTCCCCAGTATCTAGTCAGAATTTGCCTTGCTGCAACTTGTCACCAAGGCAAGACACACTTGCACAGTTAGGAAAAAAAAGTACAGGCTAAATAAATATCTTTTTTATCTACTTTTTCATCTGCTTCTCTGCTCAACTCACTGCCCCTGTTCTTTTGCGAGTTCTTTTTCCAGTGTTATTTCTCATGTGGCAAATATCAGCTCGTGCCATAAAAATGTTAAGAAATCAGAATGTTGTAATACAAAACTAGAAATGGGCAAATACATTATATTTTTTGCTGTGTAGTCGTGAATCAGTAGGGAAAAGTGGACATTCATATTTGTAAGTTAATTGTCCATCCCTTTAATGTTCTGTTATTAAACAACCACATTTAACACCTAAAAGTTTGGAATTTCTGAACTAGTTATTATTATTCATGTGCTTAAACACATGAACATGCTTAAACATTAAGTTATTAGAATAAATTTTAAATAGTCCTACTCATAATCCTAAATTAAATGGTTACCCTTCTGAATTTTACACTGAACAACATATTCTGTTGGGAGTAGATTCCCTCAATATTATTCATAGTGATTCTTCCTACGACCAATGGCTTCATTTTACAATCTCAGCTCAGAGCTGCACATACCACCAAGCTTCTACCCTTAAATGCAATCAAAATAAAATACCCTGCAACAAACTATCATGAAGTGAATTTACTTGAGGAAAATGCTGTGGTTGAGGTCTAATGATAGATGACAATTAGCATTCCTCAGCAATTAAAACACAGCATTTGTTTGAAAGGCAGTACTTGGGAGCAACTCTATGCAAGCAAAACTACTAACTGAGCATACAGGATAAGAAAAGCAGAAAGAAATAATGAAAATTGACAACTCAGAAGAAAGTAGAAAATGACAAATGTAAAGGAGGATTTGTCTTAGGATGCTGTGGGGAAAAAAAAAAAGAATATCACACAGGTCCTTAATCAGGGTCATGTGGCTGCCACTAAAACTAGTCCAGCTGCCCTTAAACTAACAGTAACTTTAAAAATTATGCTGGCAAAACAAAACAGGGTTGCTAACTACCACTGCCACAGGCATCCTGATGAAGGGCACTTATTTGTATTGCTTTTCCCTTTAACCTCAGCTTCTGGTTACATGTCTAATGTTTAGGTAATGGTTTGTGAAAGCACAGTTACAGTCTGAAAGCGCCAGCATTTCATTCCAAATTGTCCCTCTGTATTTCAAGCACCACAACAAAGCCCTCTACTGTGCAGTGGTCCTACTGTAACACATTACCTCTGTGCATGGCAATACACAAGGGTGAGCTGAAATGAATTAGCTATTAATTACATTGCACTGCTTTCAGGAGACAATTAATGTTTTCACCTGTTAAATAAGTCACAAGAC